CATGAGCAGCACGGTGGGTCCACAGCATCCTGGTGGGAAAGGAGTCAATCTTCCCTCAGGAAGAACTTTAGACCGTACCACATACAGAGGCAGGAAGAGGAGGAATACCATGGGAGGAATAAATAAAAAGAAGCACCTATCAAAACGGAGAAGTAAAAATTTGGAAGGGTGAGGAAGAGAGGACACCTTAAATGAGACTTGAATTTCATTGCTGGAAATATTTCAAGAGGCCAAATAGGATGCGGAAAAGAAATACCTGTTTTTTCTTCTGTCAACGTGCACAGTAAACAGAAGCCTTGATTTTCATGTCAGAGTTATTGAAAAGGCCACAACCAACAATTAATTCTCAGATTCATTTTTCCCTGTGTAGTAGAAAGGCTGAAATTTATCAGCAGAAACTTTGAAAAGTTTTAAAAATTAGCTGATTCACCAGGATTGGGGTCCAGATTTGAGAGGCAGATATAAGAAAAGCTAAAACTAGGTAAGACAAAATACATAAATGAGATGACTGGAACATGAGGATGAAAGACAAGAGAGAAAAGCCAACAACCCCTGTGGTCTGTCCCTTGCAGAAATGCTCTGCTCTGTAACACCCATGTGTTGCAGGACACCAGGTAAATGGCCTGCCACAGGCTAATGACACAATTGATGTGCATCTCAAATTAATATGCATCTCAGCTCTGAGCATTTTGGTGAAATGATAGAAAGGATGATGTTTCCTCCACTTTTAAGGCAGCTCAATCTACATGGAACAGAAGAGGCTTCTGCCATTTTACTGACAATACAGCATCAATTTCAAGCTGAGGGTCTCGCTCTGCCTTTGCTGAACACTGAACCCCCCTGCATCACCAAGCTGCGCCAACGCCCATCTCAGTGCATGGCAGATACCACAGGGAAGAAAAAGCCCTCATCTCCCTACACCTCTGTTTTTGAGGGAGGAAAATGGAGGAGAAAATTCAGGAAAAGCAAAATTCCACCACATGAGCGTGGTCGTATTTGTTTCAATGTGCTCAGGGGAGAAGGCCATGCAGAGGTCCCACCAGGAAGGATTCTGTCCTCTTGATACCTCTACATATCTGGCCAGCCAAATGCTCACAGTCACCTCTCTTCTTACTCAAGGACAAACTCATCACTGTGTCATCCTCAAGTTGAGTATCTTGATCTTGCTGATGCACCCAAAGCACCAACAAAAGCAAAGCAATGGAGGTTTCATGCATGTACCAGCAGACAACTACAGAACAACCCCAGCATGGTGCTTTTTCAGAAACAAATGGAATTTTTTCCCCTCCAGTAACTTGACAGAAGTGAGGATGCTCAGCTGTTCCCTGCACTGGGAAACATGAGAAGGGATTTTAACAAGTCTTCAGTGACATCCTGCTCCCACTGACAGCAGCCAGCATTCAAGAATCTTAACGAAGCCTCTTTACAAAGTCAGTGATAAGCTCTTCTAGCAAAAATCCCCAAAACAAGGGTTCTGGTGTTTGCTTTCCTAATATTTGGAGTGGAAATGCATTTGCTTAGTTATCGATTCTTGAAGCTTTCAAAAAATCATAGGGCGGCAACAAATTGAAGCTTCTGTATAGTGTAATGGTGATGACAGACCAAGCATATTGTGTGCTGAGGGTAAACATGCAAGCAATGAGCTCCAGATACACATGGAACAACTACAAAGGCCTGGAGCAAGAGAACCGAGATGCCTGGCATCAGGATCTCAGACTTCATGAAGTACAGGCAAACACAGACAGTTCACATCATTCAGTGAAAAAATCAGCCTTTTTTCAACACCCCCTACTCCATCTCCAAATCCCAAACCTATAAAAGATCACTGCTAATTTCTGTTTTTCCATGAAATTTTCTGCTGCATTATAATGACTTTTGCTAGCATCTGAAACACACAATCCTCTGCTGGTATCTGGGTCACCCACACTGAGAAGGGGAATCCCATTATTGTCTCTCCTTGTATTTGAAATGAATGAATTTGTACAGTCAGCTCAGGTTTGCATTCAAACGCTGATATTACCATGACAAGCTGCCACCACCCATGTGCAAAAGCACTACAAGCCTTTCATCCCAGCCAGCACAGAGGCAGGCGATGACATCCCCCAGGATATTTGAGAGCCCAGGGCACTGCCTCTTCATCATCACTGCTGCTGCCTTTGAATATGGATGGAGCAGTGAGACGATTTATCATTTATGGGTCTTACCCAAAGGGATACACTGTGTACCCTGAGATCTATCTGCTTTGCAGACTGAGAAACAAACAAACACCACTAACCAGGAAAGCTGCAAAGCCTACAGAAGTAAAAAAAAGTCTTTCCCTTCCTCTGCCTCAGCTTTGGGTGAAGCCCAAAGCAAGCAAACACCAGTTCAGTCTCAAAATCAAGAAACTGTGCTTTCAAAGTCTGTCTCTATGATCTCTGCTGTTCTTCAGAAGCAAAGGAACACTATCAGCACAAACACTTCTGCCTCACACCACATGGGCAGTCAATACTAAACAAAGAATAGATTTAGGAGCACAGAAGAGCAGAGTTACAGAGCTGCTGTATGACCTGAAACCATGGCACAAACTAACTCTGGCCAAATGCCTCAGGTTGACTTATTATTGTGAACCAGGGCAAAATTACAAACCTTCTTCTGCTACATATTGGTGCATTCACAAGTCCACTAACTGAACTATAAACTGCTGGATGGAAAAGAGGACAGTTGCAGACAATACTGAGATCTCAGAATCTTTGGTTCCTATCTTCAGGAACTGCAAGTGCATTTTAAATCATCAGTTCTCAGTGAGGTTATGAAACCCTCAGTGCCCAAATAACCTTTCAACAGAACTAAAGGTACTGATTGGTGCATGTGCACGCATAAAAATTTTGTCAAAATTAATTACTATGCTGAACTAGTTTAGCTACATTAAATATTCTTTGTTTAAAAGTGGCCACAATTCAGTTTCTCTCCACAAGTTAAGTTATACCAAAACAAGGCATGTTAATTCTTAATAAAGATACAGTAAAATGATGTCGCAATACAGTTAAAATTATTATTACTGAGGCCTGT